GATGTGTGAGCGGATTGCTCCAAGTCCTGAATGCACGTTCAGAAACTTTTACCATTATTTTGTAACCTGGCTTTCTTTGCTGCTGTATGGAAAAACACATGAATATGACTGTTGATGATTTTGTAAGTACACTTCTTTTAAACTTACCAAACTGTGTAATCTATTTAATGCTAAGAGGGTAGAAAGGGAAAGTCGCCGTAAGCAACTTTGAATGAGATATTTAAAATGTCTAAGAGCCTATATTTCCATGCTTCACTTTGCTGCGTGTTTTGCATTTTAAAATCTCTGCTGAGGCTCTCTCTTTCTAGAAAGTATTCTACCCTGTGTTTGGATCAAGGAATCTGGCATTCTTTTCTTTAAATCAATCATAAACCAGCACCAACATATGGCAAACCACAGGTTACCCATCTCTGCTGCAGAGGAAAGGGATAGCCTTGGAACGATTTTCCTTCTTTTTATAAGGCTTCAAGAGCACTTGCGTGATAAATTGGATAAAGGTCCCTTTCACTGCACTTTAAATGAATACACAATACAGGAGAAAAGAGCACTTAAGCTTCTGTGACTTAGTACTATCTGTCAAAACACTCATTTATATAATTTGGGCTAAATGCAGAACACTTTCTGCATGGGAGAGTGCAGAATAATCTCCTTTTGGGCAGGGAAGTAGATCCTTTGCCAATGCAGTTTGCAGTTGTCGCCATGGGCGTAGCCAGGGGGGAGAGAGAGGGGGGCAGCTGCCCCCCATCAATAAAAATAAATGAAAACACATAGCTAACGTAGGTTCTGCCCCCCCACAAAAGGCCTACCCCCCCCCAACAAAAATCCTGGCTACGCCCATGGTTGCTGCTACATATCTCTCTGAAAAAAATATTTTGCTCCCCATGCAGATTGGTTTTGACAAGCCTAGATCCCTCTTATCCAGACTGGCAGTCCCTGGGGTTGCAATCCTTTTCACTTGTGGCACAAAGACTTTTTTCTATAATTCATTATCCTTGAAACTGCTCAGTCATCCATACTAAACAAACTCGAGGAGAAGTGGACCAGAATGTAGAGTCTTAAGACTCTAGCCTGATCATCCATCATGCTGGTTCAACTGGCATATAGAAGGAAAGAAAGTGTGATTGTTTGCTAATGGGAGGTTTATTTATTTACAACCATTTTTTTACTGCCTTTCAGTTAAAGAAAATAAAAACCATTCCAAGGCAGCTGGTTGCAAAGCTTTGGCTGGATTAGTGTCAAAACAGTATGCTTCTCTCTCTCTCTCTCTCTCTCTCTCTCTCTCTCTCTCTTTCATTTCATATCAATAACCTTTAGTTTCTTGTGCAATCCCATCGGGAGGGTTATTTATTTTTAAAGGGACAAGGTCACAGCACTTGCTGTGCTGCAACAGCGCCATCTGGTGGCGAGTCGTTAGAAAAGCAGAACGTTTCTTAACCAAATTAGAAGACTGGACAAGGGGTAAGATGAACGTGATGAGGGCACATGTATAAATGTGGGGGGACCTGCATGCTGAGAGGGATGATGAGTTCTCCCTCCCCTGATTTCCCTGCACTCCTTTGCCCCACTGTCAGGTCTTGGCCAGGATCTAACAAGGCCTCATGTGAAGAGCCCAATGCAGGGGCAAGCAGCCAAGGTTCATAATGGCCAGAAGTATTATAAGGTTGAAAACATGAGACAAGGAGAGAGAGATTGCATGGTTACTTGGTAAGTTGTTCAGACTAAGAAGCTCAGTTGGACACAAGGGCTAGAAAAGTGAATAGAGAACAGAGAGGGTCAAAGCAGAGCAGAAAACGAAATCTAAACCCCTTCCCTCAAAATCAGAAGGGATGGAAGTTGTTCAGTAACCCTGAACTTCACTGGCCCCACTGGTGAGGGAAGCTGCTTTCAGGTCAGTCTTGCTGACTGTGCTCTCCTCTCCCAAAGCAAAGTTCAAAACCAGAAAATCAGTGTTACCTCCAGCATTGTAACTCCAAGTGTATCCCAGGTAAATCGTACATAAGGTCACCTATTGCAATGCCTGGAGTACTGCCAGTACTTTTGCTCTAAAGCCTTGCTACTTCCAGCTGCCCACTCACTTCCACCAATCTTAGCTCTTTTCGTGTCACTCCCCCTTTTGCAGAAGATAATTCAGATGCAGTTTTTTGATTCAAACAACCACTACTTAGAACTGTCTCTCTCTCTCTCTCATCTCCCAATGAGGCAGCAATTTTTTTAAAAAAATCCTTCCAATTTTTAGGAAGGCATGAAAATAACAAAGCACTAAACTTTTCAAGATGTGAGGTACAAACTCTTAAATACTACATGGAAGTCTCCCAACAGACTCATGGAGGGACACCACATAGTATCGGAATAACTGGGAAACAGCAAAAATGGGGCAGGTGAGATGTATATCCACTAAAAAAGAGATTTGACAGGTGAGATGCAAAACAAAAAACATGAACCATGCTGCACACAGATAATAGGCAACTGCCCCTCTTTCCAGAATACAAAAGTTCTGAAGCACCTCCTCTGGAATACATTTTCTCATCACACAATTAAATTTTAATGAAACTCTATTATTCCTTGCTTCCATTCCAGCCTGCCTACACCTTTAAGTCATTCTCACCTGCCTGACACCCAGAGCAATTAAACTGATGAGTATAAAAGGGCATTCTCTGTATTGTCACCATAGCTCTTTTCCAGCTGGGCTCCTTCAGGCCACAACATTTCAGGACTTTAGGAAAGGGTTGAAAACTTACCTGCTCATACTGGCCTTTCCTTGAATTAATTTTTTCTTGCTGCAGTTGATTTTGGCTATATATGTGTGATAGGGGTGGGGGGGTGGCTGGATGTTTATTGCTACTGGCTTATTAAATGTCTGTAATCTTTTGATGATATTGTATTTGTATTATTTAACAGAAGCCAACTTAACAGGGTTTGACTCTTAAAGCCAGCATACAAATAGATCAAATAAATAAACACAATTTAAATAAAACTATTTGGTTTGGAGGAAGGGCCAGTGGTATGACTGGGGTTGATGTAGAAGACAGCTCCTTCAGTTGCAAGGGGACAACTGTGAAGAGCTGAAATGTATCACCATGGTGTCTCATTACAACCAAATGTCAGATGAAAGAAAGTGGAAAATAGAGACTGATTTCCAAGGTTGGAGAAAGACAATAGTTTAAAAGCTGGAAGTGGTTGGAGAAATTGTTTCCAAGAAAGACAGATATTTCATTGATTCCATTGTTGCCTCTTATCAAGCAGGTTTTTTGCAACCAATACAAAATCCTGTAAAACCTGTTTAAGCAGAGTCAAAAGGAGGATAGTGTGTGTGTGTGCGCGTGTGTGCATGCGTGCGTATACACACACACAACACCCCCCCCCACGGCAGCAATCTATCTTTCAAACCACCTTCAATTCTTTGAAAAAAGCATTTTTTAATCTGACCCAAGATTTCCGCAAAGGTCCCTTTGGAAACATTTAGCACTCTTTTCGGAAAGGAGACAGTCTAACCCAGTTCTTGTGGCTGATGTGTGCAAGTCATCAAAATCAATGGACGCAATTCCAGTGATTTCAATTTATCCACTCAAGAGTTTGACCAACCTTGGATATCACCAGTTTTTTAATGAATAATTTTTATTAATTCTAGTTTTTTGAGGCATAGCACTGCTTATCATCCTCACAGACTTCTGAGTCCCAAAGATTTCTACACTTTGTCATTTAAAAGCCATATTTAGCTCAAGTTGCATGAAGATAGCCAAGTTTGAATCTTCTGTCTTTCTACCTCCATATCCAAAACCCCATTTGTCAAAAACAAAAACCCGAGAACATTTATGATCAATAGTTGCTATCTTAATGCCAAACACTACCACAAAACTCCTACTGCCCATCAGCATTCAGAGGCCAAGAGGCAGGTATCCGGCAAGGGTGGGGGGTAGTCTAGGTATCACGTTGTGCAAACTCTACTCTACCAAGTGGGGATTTTTTTTGTCTCTTTTTTCATGTTTGCCACATCTTCTTACCCATGGGTAGGCAAACTAAGGCCTGAGAGCTGGAGCTGGCCCAATCGCCTTCTAAATCTGGCCCACGGGCGGTTCGGAAACCAGCAAGTTTTTACATGAGTAGAATGTGTCCTTTTATTTAAAATGCATCTCTGGGTTATTTGTGGGGCATAGGAATTCGTTCATTTCCCTCCCTTCAAAATATAGTCTCCCCCCCCCACAAGGTCTTGAGGGACAGTGGACCGGCCCCCTGCTGAAAGTTTGCTGACCCCTGTTCTTACCCGACTGGAAACTGACTTCATTGCTAAGGAAGCAGTAAGTGACTTGTGGCATGACTAGCTCCAGTAGGCAATTTAATGTTCTCTTTCCATCTGCATAGGATGTAATTTGACTTGCATGATTGGCATCTAACTTCAGTACTTATGCTCTAGGGAGAGCTTTTAGTACTCTTTTAAGCAACCCTTTCTGGTGCTGAAGAAGATTAACTTACTATTGATTAGTGGTGCGTTGGAGACAGTCGATAGATTCTTCACGGCATGTGAAGTTTTAATTCCCACAAAAGGTCCCATCCCCACTCCCTTTTTAAGGCAGTTCCAGTACATAGGAACAGATTAATTTTTTGCCTTTTGTTTCAAGATTTTCAAATGGGAGACCATTTGTGAAATAGGTGGTTTCCATAAACATTAGGAGTGTTAAGTGCTTCAGGAGGGATTACTCAGGATGTGACTTTGCCCACACACATTTTAAGAAGAGCAGTATGTGGCGCTTGCTTTTCTTTCTCAGGAGAAGCAACCCTGTTCAGCTTTATTGCGCTCCACAGATACTGGCTGTAGTTGCAGCAAGCCGGGCTGCTTCCAGGGAAAGCCTGCTCCCTGACGCGCTGGAGTGGTGGGGGCTAGGGCTGGAGCCGGTTTTCCCCTCTCACTCCTGCAGCCAGGGGGTCTGGCTTAATAGACTGCATTAAAGTATAAACAACGCTTTTACATGCACTGGGAAATAAAAGAAAGAAGTTTGACTCCCTTTATTGTGATATTTGTTTTAATATGGTGGTCTGGAATATCTCTGAGGTATGCCTGTATTTCTGATACACTCACAAGGTAAAAACATGAGGAGAAATAAATATAAATAAAATAAACTTTTGTGTTCATTCATGGCTAGAACTAGCTTGTAAATATAGGAAGCAAGGGTACAGCCAGACTTCTGAAAGTGATTATTGACACCAACTCCTACAGACAGACATCAGAGACAGCTGAAGGATCTGCACCACATCTTTATGTTCTGGTGACAGTTTGCAAACAATATACTGCAGTGACTATATCTTGTACTTAGTAGAATATACACTTTATTTTTTTAAGGGGGGAAAATCCAACAATTCAATACAGTCAAAACTTTACATTTTTAAAACAAAAGCATTCTTTTTAAAAAGACACTTAGCAGAGAGACTTACATACCCAGACAATCCACCATCAGAGAGCTCATATCCTTAATTCTATCATTTAGAAAGTGTCATAAAAATGAATACCAGGTAGGCTTTGAATATGAAAATGTGTTTTTTTCTCTTACCAGGATTATCATTTTTAAGTCCTTTCGACAGTCATCCATTATTCATTTGTGTGTACAGGAAAAAAAATGGGTAGGGATAGACATTTTTACCCTGTTGTTTTTATAAATGGTAATGATCCTACTATGTAGTGCCTTAAAATCCATGACTGAAAAGCATTTTATATACTAATCTACACACTTTCACTCAGTACATACTAAAACACAAAGAGAAATGCAAATGTTATACAGCAAAACCAAAGAGTAGTTTTGACCAAAAAAGGTCACATTTTATATTGCAGTCACATTTCCCCTGTTTAATGACAAATGGAGCTAAACACTCACCTGCTGCTCCAAATGAACAGAATGGAGTAAAGACAATGAAACTCCTGAGTAGTTAATCTCTCTAACTATGGAAAAATAACATAGCTATGCTGCAGGATTATCTGAGAACATATTTTTAAAGGGACACTGTATCCAGCTATGTTATAAGCAGATCAAGCTTTCCATGCCAATGATAATGGAGTTTTAACAGCAGAAATAATGTCACTAAGCTGGAGAAATGCTAAGGGAAGTATGTTGCATGCAACAGATGCCAATGTAGAATACTGACAAAAAAATAATAATTCCAAATTCATCTACCATTTTTTTATGGCTAAGCTACCATAAACCTAATGTATAGTGTGCTGAATGACAATTCACACCAGGCTGGTGCAAAGAGCACGTATGAAAACAACATTCAGAGTAGTTTGCATTTCTGAAATCATCATGTGCTTTTTGTCAACAGGAATTAGTGCATGAGGATACTGCTAACTGGCAAGATAGGCTTGCCTCCAAACAAAACCAGTTGAGTATGATTATGAATAAACTCAGGTACCACAGAAATAGCTCCCATGCCAATTCTCAGTGTCTCTGCTTTTTGTGGTTTATTAAACATTTTGTAAATAGAAAGCATCACAAACCAAAGCTCTACAATAATTTAATTTCGCTTGATTTCTGCAGTTTTCTAAGAAACAAAATCCTCAAACCATGCTACATTAAAATATCTCAATGAGTTTGCAGAGGTTACAATGAAAGCACTTATTACTCCAGGAGGACTGAGATTAATATTAAAGTGTATTTACATATTTTGTCGTACAAAATACAGTATTCCAATAATCATGTTATTACTGTGTTTCAGACACAAATGGAAAAACACTACACTTCTGCTATTCTGGACCCAACTAAACACCTTGCCAGTTGATGCTTCAAAGCACAAGTTAATTGTTATCCTAGTTCAGCAAAACAAAACAAAGAACACCTCAGACTCAGTTTTGTAATAGGAGGCTGCCTTGCTGATTAATTCAGATAAAGTTCACAATAAAGCACTACTAGGAACCACAAGTAAGAACCATGTGCATTAATGGAGCAGTGGGGGAGGTTATGTGTGTGGGGAAAGATGTATTATTAAGAGTCTGAAAAATAGAATTATTACATTCCCTCCTCAGCCTCACCTTCTTTTCATTATAATTAGATAGTACAAGTTCACCAGAAAGATAATCAAGTTGACAAGCTTTCACATCAAAAGCAATCTCATTATAAATTAACTCAAATGAAGAGAATTAGTATCTCAAGTTCACAATGAGAATGACTTTGAACTCAGCAATGCCTTGTCTCTTACAACGTTGCATCTTCCTTGCTGGCCATCGTTCAGCCAGGAGAGCATAAACTTGCGTTGTTTTCATAAGAAAGATGTTTAGCAAGGCATTGCCATTGTGAGGGAATGTAGTTGCCATTAAGTATTTTTATAGGTTCTGTGACAAATTTGGGAAAAACAGATGTAATATATAGAGTATGTTTTGGAACCACAGGGGGAGAGAGGGGGGAGACTACACCCAGTGAAATTACTGGACCTAATTTAAGTCAGGTTCATTAGTTTCAATGGGTCTACTTTGAGTAAAACATAGCTGCACACCACCCAGTGAATTCTTCCCTGCTTCTCAGCTTAATGAGATCTGCATACCAGTGAATTCAATGCTGGCTCAGAAATCAACCTTGCCTTATTTCGTTAATGAAAAAAGGACAAAAGTGTTTTTTAAAGCGAAAACTCTGTGTGTGTGTGCGCGCGCGCATGTTTGTGTATTGTTGTAGTTGCCATCCTATCAATGTCACATGCAGCGGCAGAGCATATGCCTGCAATGCCCAGGGTGGGCGCGCTCCCGAGGTGGGTGGGGCGCAGAGGGTGTCCTCCCAGGTGCGGGATAGCCGCTTGGGTGCACAGAGCGGGGCATGCGCCCTGCAGCTGGGGGCGGAGGGAGCTGCGGATGGTGGACATTCAGCACACCCCCCAGTTGTCAAAACAAAGGGGGAAGGGGGGAAAGCCGCCAGCAAAGTGGCACAGCTTCCCCCTTCCCCCGACGGCTTGGGCGTCATGGGTGGGCAGCACACCGAATGTCACCCCCCTGAGCGAAGACACCTGAGGCAGCCTGGCCCCATCACACACCCCTTCCTCCGTCCCTGGCCACATGCACACCTGGCTTTGGCTGCAAACTTGCGAAACAGTTTTTTGATATATTTTTTATTTTGTTTGTTTTTAAAGAGCATGCTTGAACAAGATGAAGCTTCTTCCAAACAAATCTCACTGCTCTATACAGGTCACATCTGTCTTTTCTCTCTAACTGGTTTTCAAACTGAAAAAGGGACAGTAATCAGTTAAGAATTTTCGATTTGCCAGCATTGTCACGGCTATGCACATTGCACAGAGGCAAACCTCAGATCTGTCACAGACTGTGTGCTCCATAATGAGGTGCAGTTAATCAAGGCTGCCTGGAGATGTGTCCGTGGATGCCTGAGGCTCCAGCATTGCAGGTGAAGCCAAGCAGGTGTGGACCTGATCAATTATTTGGATGGGAGACTATTGGGGGCAACCCAGCTAGAAGGGTGGGGGATAAATAATAAAATTATTCTAATTATTATTATGTATACACAGGATATAAAATTATATTTTAAGTGCATCTGCATGATGTATGTTTGCAAACACATGGTTATCACACTCACAAAATTTAGGTGAGCATTTAAAAAGGCAGATCTAAAAGGGTGCACACGGAAATACATGAAGTAGATATTTAGCTGAAGAGTATATGAATACTAGTGAATCAGTGTACACATTTTTCCAGGAAAGCAGAGGTGCATATACAAAAAGATAGATAATGCGCCTTTTTTTCCTTAGCAAAGGTTCAGATTTGAAAGATTTCTGTTACTCTAGAAGTTGAAACAATTCAGTTTTGTATAGCTGCCTTTAGTGGGTGAATCAGCCTCAACATGAGTATCTGTGTTAAAACATCCCCAAATTCTGGGGGTTTTTGTGTGTTTTTGGGGTGGGGGTAAAAAAAATTGAACTAGATGCTTATGGCCCAGAGGTGTTTAGGAATTCTGTAAAAAAAACAACACCATAGAGATTCTAGTATGCCTTAACTATTCAAAATATATTTGCTCTTAACAATTTTACAGTATCTCTGTTAAGCTTTAGCTGCTGGTTCTCTTTTACTGCACCTGTTATCTTGATACCTGACAGAAGGACTGCCCACTAGGGAGTACTAGAAGCAAGCTCTACATCTAGAATACTTGGTTATTCGGCACAATACAGCACAACACAGCACAGAAAGGGAAAGTGCCAATCAATATTTTTTTTAAAAAAAACCCACCTCCAAAGACATTGGGAATTTATACAAAACAGCAACCAAGATTAATATCATAGGTTTAATATAAAAACTTATAAAGGCTTCAGCACCCACAGCACTAAATATATGCCTCCATTACTTCTTGAATGAATGATACAAAAGTAATGAATAAGGGAAAACTCCACCAAAATTTCACATGAAACCTGCACAGAGATTGATCACAAAGAACCACAAATTATCCCTTAAACCTAAATCATTGCTCTAGTTGCAAAGTAGAAATCTCACATGACTATTAAAGAATGATTAAAAACCAATAAACAGAGTTAAATGCCTATGCTAAGCCTGTACAATGAAATGAAATCTTTAAGAAAAGGAAGATCAGCTTCTAAATTATTATTTAGAAATTATTATTATTATTCAATTAATTTCATCTATGGATGAAATTCAGTTAGGGGGATATTTTATTTCAATCTCTCTCAAGGGGATGATCATGTACATTAAGATTACCATAACAAAATTCTCTATTATATAGATTATTTGCTTTTGAAGATTTTCTTTCTTGTCCACAATATTTATTAAAAATAAATTTTTATTAAAAAAAAGTTGTTAACCCTTGGATCTTCAGTGGCATGTTGATAGTAACTGGGTAACCATAAAAAGATTACTGTTCACCTCAAACTGTTCCCAGCAAGGTCTGTAATCCTACAGATCACACTCTGGTCATTCCATTATATAATTAAATAGCAGTATGTAGAAGAGTTTGCATACTTATAGCAGGCATCCTGCACTATTTCTTTGGACAAATTAATGTTAAACATTAGTGCAAACTAAGAACATTATTCTATACTGTTATCACTATAAATTGGTTACCAAGATGAAGAGGAAGGTGGAAGACCTGGTTATGCTAATGATATATTATTTACCTCCCATACCAAAGAAATAATACATTTTAAAGAAACAAAGTTGTAAAGTAACATGATGTTTACTGTGTCTCATTTGTTTTTCCTGGGAAGAGTATTACAACTACTTCATCTTCCTACACAAAGGTACACGTAAAGTTACACACATAACCTTTGCATCGTGTTGTACAACACATGCAAATCTTCCAAGTGACTTGGAAGCACATTAAATGTGGGAATTCATATTCTATTTCAGTTGTTTTGTGCTATAAAATGGCTGGAGAACTAAAATTATTAACAGCTATCATGAAGAGCTTTCTAATGTAACACACACAGGTATTGGAAATCTGGCTCCAACTGCAAGTTATAAGGGGATGCAGCACATCATTTAGATTAGTACTACAATTCTGATATTATTTTCTTTCTGTATGTATTTAATCGTTATACCAATCTTCTCCAACTTTTGAGAGATTCTATAAACAGCCCACAGTCAATTTTACTACGTAATATGCACACTGGTGCATTAATTGCAAACAATTAAAATAGTACAGGCAATTTCTTAATTTTGTGGGGATTACGCTTTGAAAACAGCAGAAAATCAGTGTTTTGCAAAATGTAATCTACTAGCATAGTTGTGTTGGGACTTTCCTGTCAAGTCCAACTTCTGAATCTGAAACAGCAATCTTGAAGCCTCTTGTGCTAAGCAGGGATTGCCAGCATTGAACTGTACACCCAAAAAATCCCGTGTTGCAAACAGAACACTCTAAACAACAACAAGCAACACGTTGGCTAATAATGTACTGACAATATTTTTATAACATTATACTGTTTCAAAATTCATAAACAGAAAACATACGTGCATGGAGTCACAAATTAATAAGAATCGAATAAATGGAACATCCATGCACATTGTCCATGCACATGTTTTCTGTTTATGAATTTTGAAACAGTATGTTATAAAAATATTGTCAGCATTGAACTGTAGGCACAATAGTGCCCCTGAGGTCTTACCATGGTTCCGACAGGCCAAATGAGCCCCTCTTACTTTCTGCCCTTTGAATGAGCTGGCGAGGGGGGAATGCATAGAGCTGAATGAGGAAATTGGAAGCATGATGCTTATTCCCACTTTCTCTTTTAGCTCCATGTCCTTTGCAAGGCCCAGATTAATTATTCTGGATAAGATCACTTGGAAAAGTGATCTTCTTTCTGTGGGGAGGCTGATCTGGCTGAGGGAAGTGGCCAGAAGGGATGGTGCCCTTGTCCAAAATTCCAAATGTGCCCACAAGCCTAAAAAAGTTGGCAACCTCTGTGCTATGCTTTCCATTAATCAACTGATGGAAGCCTGCTAACCCAGCCATTAGTCCTATGACAAATTGGTGTGGGTTTTATCCAGTTTTGAAATATATCTATTCTTGACACATTTCAAGTTTCATGTAGCTCATACTCAGGGTGTAACTTCTACAGAATTGAAATGCCCTATTTCCACAAGCTATTTTGCTGTCCCTAGGGTCTAAGCAACAGGTTCTGCTACCACATAGGCATGTATCTGATGGGATATTCCAACTGTGCTATGTCTGATGCTTCAGGTTAATGAGTCCAATGCTCATCATACCATGTTCAGGCACTCAAGTGAAATTCAGAAATCTTTAAGGGGAAAATGGTAGGGGAAAACAGCATAAACGTTGCTTATTTTATTTCTAACATGTACAGGACCAGGTAGAAGTGAAAATCAGCAATTATTCCGCAATTATTCAGTTGGGGCAATCAGAAGGCCACCCCAATTTTGATAAGGGACTTGGGGCAATTTGTTCAGCAAGAAAAAGTAAACTAGATGTTGAACTTGCATCTTCTAGAAGATAGGCAACAGCAGATAAAATGAGTAACTGAGTGAATAACTGAGTCACCCTACTTTCGCAACCTGTCCTTTTATTATACTGCTCCCTCTTCATTACACATCTATGTTTATGGAAGTAAGGAAATAGAAATCTCTTAGGATTATTACAAGGAGTAGATTGTGAAAATGCATTCATCATGCCATCACAATCATTCTATTGTCAGAGTCAGCAAGCTTAAGAAAAAGTGCTAATTTCAGAAAGTGAGTGTCAGCTTTAATCAGCCGAGAAAATAAGGTGCATCTAACTTGCTAGCATTTGTTAAGATATAGTGCATCTTGGGGTACGTGTTATTTTCCATTACTTCTATTTTAATTGATATGTTGGTTGTATAGTGAACCAAAACATATTTCTTTTTAATCTGTTTTCCACATATGCTGTTTCTGTTCCAAGAGTACAAGATACAATAGATTAACAGAATTTAGCTGCAATATTGATATCCATTCTAAAGCACAGAACAGATATGAAAAGGAAACACAGAAGGAAATCTTGAATAATTATAGTTATATTCCCTTAATACTTGCCCCTTCCTCCCAATAAAGGATCACCACTAATTAGTCAAACTGAACTCAAGGACACGAGCACCAAGTGTCATTGAAAAGAGTTAATAACTGTACTGCATATTGTGGGTACAAGGAAAAATAGCAGTACAACAGAAATGTACCCTTAGAGACCTTGGTCTTTTCATCATGCTCAGCCCTTGGGTAGTTCAGAGGGAGGTACTTGCAGGCAAGCAGGGTCATCATCAGTTGTGGAACACCTCACATCTTTCACTATTCATTCTGATGGCAGGTGGTTTCATGTGTAGTTTTTAGTTTCTTTGTGATTTTAAGAGTCTTTAAAGTTGCATCACTCGGAATCGGATAAGTCACTTTAAACAAAGCAAAGCAAGAATATGACTATTTATAAAACAGCATATTGTTACATTCACTCTCAGGGATGTTACCAATTCCCCATTATAAAGGAAACAGACTACTTTGGGGAGCATTACACGAGCACTAAAACCACTCCGCTGAGTCAAGGTATCACGAGAGGGAACAACAATTCTAGGAAATGTATTTTAACCGCACAAAATTAAACTGCTTCCCATTTCTATCAATGAGCCATGGTAGAGCTTTTCCAACTGTTGATCCATACCCAATACCTGGTGTTTTTTAACACTACTAACGTGACCTCCCTTTAAAAAGTGGGTGGGTGGGCACAACAGAGGACTGTTACTGGCTGCAGCACATCTAGATTATATTATCCTAAAATAGCAGCAATGTCCCAAACATTGCCTTTAAGAAAAACCCCCATTCTGCCTGAAAGCTAGTTCAGCATTCAGGCATTTTTCTCTCCTTGATCATTAAGAAAGCGTATTACATGCTGAAAAATTTTGCTACAAGGGGATGTGTGCACCTGAACTGGCTCTGCTAAAATTCAAGGTACCCATTTACTTCTGTATTACTGACATTCTTATGGCAACCAATGGCCTTGAAGGAGGTCTCCAGTATTACACCAATGTATGCTGCTTTAGCTGGAGGAGGTTATTAGCAGCTATGGGGAAAGCCTTGTGTGTTCTTTTCAAGATAAGCACTAAAATATTCTTGAGACACAAGACAAGCAGCTGTCAGGGAAACCATATGCAAGGCAACCCAAAAGGATAAATAAATGAAATAGCTTGCAGCAAGGTAATGTGCCCCACCCACCTCTTACATTGGTCAGGAGGTCAGAACCAACACTGTAGCAAAGCATCATTTTAATGGGTCTAAAGCAAGCTCTCCCAGAACTAATATTACCCTACAACTCTAGGTCACAAATATTGTGGCTCATACTTTTTAATAAAAGAAGAAGAAGAGTTTGGATTTGATATCCCGCCTTTCACTCCCTTTAAGGAGTCTCAAAGCGGCTAACATTCTCCTTTCCCTTCCTCCCCCACAACAAACACTCTGTGAGGTGAGTGGGGCTGAGAGACTTCAAGGAAGCGTGACTGGCCCAAGGTCACCCAGCAGCTGCAAGTGGAGGAGCGGAGACGCGAACCCGGTTCCCCAGATTAGCAGACTACCGCTCTTAACCACTACACCACACTGGCTGTAAGAATATACTCCTTTGAAGAATTAAGTGCAGGAATTTACTATAATGAATTGAACCTGTAATTTAAGTGAATATGATTATTTTGTCAACAGCCACTCATATTAGTTAAAAAACTAATGCAAGTGATTTGGAGACAAATTGCTTAAATGAAAGTAAAAAAATCCAAATCAATTAAGAGGAAATGCTTCCATTTTACAATATGCAAAGGAATTTATAATTTTTCCCCAGAAGTAATACACCCACAGCAGTGTTGTTTGGACAGATACACAGCTGATAAGGTTGCAATCTAAACCCCACTTATTTGTAAGTCCAATTGCATTCAACAGGACTTACTTCTGAGTAGTCACGGTTAGGATTGAAGCCAAAGCCTCATTTCTGCCCAAAAGAATCAAAAGGCCCAGAACTGAAAAGAAGATTCATACTTGTTCTCAAAGTAAGAGAAAACTATCAGTCCTGCACATCATATTATTTTATATGTATAACTTGGAAAAGGGAGCAATTACAAAATTATTTCAGCATGATTCCTTCCACATTATATGATTTGTTTTAAAGGAAAATACTTTCGAACCATTTGCCTTCCATTCCAGACATGACAGCAGTAAAACACCTGCCAGTCTAGCAACATAGACAGATTTATTCCTCAAGTCATCAAATTAGTGTTATTTGATTAGAAACACCAAATTCTTAAAATGTGTTAAATTTGTTTTTTAAAATATTAAAAATTGGCATATTGCAACACAAGGATCAGAAAGCGCCTGACCGAGTTGTGTCAGAAGAAGTGGATCCTGTTCAGGGTTACAGAACAACCGATCTACAAACATTAGTCTCTATTGAAACAGAGCAAGCCAAGGAACAAAGTAAGGGAAAAGAGTTTGCTTACAAGGGTCCATATCTGCTCTCATATTTAGAGACAATGTTCTTGCATTTTCCCATTTCCTTTCGCAGCTCTGCCACCTCGGTCCTCAGAGCTGTATTCTCCTTCTCCAGAAAGGCAGCTCGGACTGTGATCTGGTTCTCTTTCAGGCGACGAGCATCACGAGATCGTTTGGCTGCCACGTTATTCTTCTTCCGCCTAGTCCAATATTTTTCATCCTAGAGAGAAAATAATCAGTTCAATAGTGAAATACGTCAGGTATCAAAAAGCCAAAAAGTACCTACCATATGGCCTCTTCTTTTTTTTTTTTTAAATAAATTTTTTATTGCGTTCCTTTCCATAACTTCAAACAATCCAAACACCACAAAAACATTAAATGCAAGAAACAATTTTTCTTTTCTTTTACATTCAAAAACAAATTAAAGATCAAACCAAAAAAGGTAAATAAACCATTCCATATTTGGACTTCCCCACACCCTCCGGAACTGCATTCTTTATAGTTTAATAATGTCAGCAATTTGTTACCTTGTTTCATACCTTATTGTAACTTTCAATTTGTTATGCATCCAAATTCAATATATTGTATCTTAATTTCAATGCTTTTAAAATAAACATAACATGTTCAATTTAAATTGTCTCCTTTTCTTTTTTATCACTTATTTTAACATTTACTTAATCCTGTTTGCCAAAGCATAGTATTTCTAAATCATGCACTGACTTAAGATTCATACAGCTTATGATGTTTTTGCAAATAGTCTTTAAATTTTCTCCAGTCTCCCTCGATTATTTCTTCATCCAAATCTCGGATTCTGCCAGTCAGCTCAGCTAATTCCATGTAGTCCATCAACTGCGTCTGCCAATCCTCCAGCGTGGGTAAATCTTGTGTCTTCCAGTTCTTTGCGATGAGTATTCTTGCTGCTGTAGTTGCATACATAAACAAAGTTCTATCCTTCTTTAACATTTTCTGGTCCACCATACCCAGCAGGAAGGCCTCAGGTTTCTTAGGAAAGGTATACCTAAATACCTTTTTTAATTCATTATGTATCATTTCCCAAAAGGCCTTCACTTTTGGGCAGGTCCACCAGAGGTGGAAAAATGTCCCTTCTGCCTCCTTACATTTCCAACATTTGTTGTCAGACAGGTGATATATTTTAGCTAGCTTGACTGGGGTCATGTACCACCGGTATACCATTTTCATAATGTTTTCCTTCAAGGCAGTACATGCCGTGAACTTCATTCCGGTGTTCCATAACCTTTCCCAGTCTTCAAACATTATGTTGTGTCCAACATCCTGTGCCCATTTTATCATGGCAGATTTAACTACCTCATCCTGTGTATTCCATTTAAGCAGCAAGTTATACATTCTCGATAAAGTCTTAGTCTTTGGTTCTAACAATTCTGTCTCTAGTTTCGATTTTTCCACCTGGAAACCCACCTTTTTATCCATTTTAAAAACCTCTTGAATTTGAGCATAATGTAACCAGTCTCGCACCTTATTTTTTAATTTGTCCTGGCTCTGCAGCTTCCAATTGTCTCCAATATTTTCTATTAATTCCCAATATTTCGGCCAGTAGGCCTCCATATTGAGTCTTTTTCGGGCCTTGGCTTCCACCGGTGATAGCCACCTCGGTGTTTTGCACTCTAATAAGTCTTTATACTTCATCCAGACTGCAAAAATTGCCTTTCTGACAATGTGGTTTTTGAACAATTTATGAGCCTTAGCCTTGTCATACCATAGATATGCATGCCAACCAAAAGCATTATCAAAACCCTCCAGATCTAGGACATCAGTATTTTCCAGCAAAAACCAGTCTTTCAACCAGCAGAAGGCTGCAGCTTCATAGTACAACCTTAAGTCCGGCAGGGCAAACCCCCCTCTTTCTTTTGAGTCAGTTAGTATTTTGAACTTTATTCGGGGCTTTTTGCCCTGCCAGACAAACCTAGCTATATCCTTCTGCCACTTTCCAAAACATTCCACTCTGTCCACGATCTGCAAGGTTTGAAACAAAAACAACATTTTCGGCAATACATTCATTTTTATAGCCGCAATTCTTCCCAACAAGGACAGTTTCAATCTTGACCAAATTTCTAAATCTTTTTTAACTTCCAGCCAACATTTCTCATAGTTATCTTTAAATAAATTCAAGTTTTTGGAAGACAAATTAATCCCTAGATATTTCACTTTTTTGACCACATTTAATTCTGTTTCTCTCTGAAATCCCTCTGTTTCTGTAGGTGTCAAATTCTTAGTCAGAACCTTAGTTTTTTGTTTATTCAGTTTAAACCCCGCCACTCGACCAAACTCAGATATAAGTTCAAGAACTCTTTTTGTACTGGGTTCTGGCTCCACCATATGGCCTCTTCTTATGACCAGCTATGCAACCCAGCCTAGCAAAAGTTATCCATGCCCTAGCAACTTCCAGGAAAATTGCTGTGTCTCATATGTGGGGACTACTCAGAAATCTGGCACAGGAAACAATCTGCTAGATTGATCAGTCCTGATGAACAGACAGAACACATCTTAAAACAGCTCCAGTGGTTACCATCCACTTCAACAGCTGGGTTTACTTATATAACAGGATTTAGTGGGACATACTGTAATTTTGCTTTATTCGATCATAGAGTCATGTAACTGTAGAGTTGGAAGGGACCCCAAGGGTCATCTAGTCCAACCCCCTGCAATGCAGAAATCTCAACTAAAGTATCCATGACGTATGACCATCCAACCTTTGCTTAAAAACTTCCAAGGAAGAAGAGTCCACCACCTTCTGAGGGAGTCTGTTCCACTGTCAAACAGCTCTTACTGTCAGAAAGTTCTTCCTACTGTTTAGTTGGAATCTCCTTTCTTGTAACTTGAATCCATTGGTTTGGGTTCTACCCTCCAGTGCAGGAGAAAACAAGCTTGCTCCATCTTCCATATGACAGCCCTTAAGATATTTGAAGATAGCTGTCATATCTCCTCTCACGTTTCCTCTTATCCAGGCTAAACATATCCAGTTCCCTCAACCCTTCCTCATAAGACCTGGTTTCCATACCCCCAATCATCTTAGTTGCACTCCTTTACTTAAGTTCCAGGTTGTCAATACTTCTCAATCCTTCTCAAATTGTAGCACCCAGAACTGGACACAGTACTCAAGATGTGGTCTGACCAAGGCAAAACTGAATAATTCTATTACTTCCTTTGATCAGGACACTATACTTCTGTTGAAATATAGAAATATGCTTGACCAAATGCTGGTGACCTTTAAAAATGCGTATATAAAAATATATGTACACATACAGCATGTATATGTGTATGTTCACACACACACACACACACACACGGTAGTTGCTAGAGAAGGATGAAGGCATTTTCACATTGCTCATACCTCTGTACCAAACAAACAATACAATGGGTCAAAAGGGGTCAGCTGATATACTAAAAAAAAAAGGGGGGGGAGCTGTAGGAAATACCAGTACTATGAACCAGAACAGTAAAGTACTGAACAAACCAGCTTCCAATAACCTTTTCATTATTACCTCCCATCTATGCAATAACTCATTCTAAAAAAATACACATGAACACTGCTCTCTAACTCACATTCTAACACTGTGATAAAAACCAGGTGTTACCTTTTGGTCTTCCGGGACAAAGACTTTCTTGGCTTTTTTAATCATGGGCTGTGGTTTCAGGTCCTCTTCAGCAAACTTATGCTTTCTAGGGTTGAAGAGCTCACCTCCTGGAACACTGGACAGCACTAAATCAGCAGGGTCAGGGTTGAAATTCACATCAACCTCAACACACTCTGGATCAACAGGGCTGGGAGTCAGTCTCTCGTTATCTGGTGAGGATTCTGGCAAAGAAAAAAATGGAAATAGGAAGTCAGTGTGAGGAACATAGCAACAAGGAAACCAAAGGGTCAAAAGCAGCCCCCCTTTATTTAACACCCCCCATGTTCATGGCACTTTACAAAGGAGGATACGACATGTCCTCACCCCAAGGAACTTCTGGTCTAAATCTAGACACAAAGGCGACACCCATGGGAAAGGGAGGAAGAAGGCAAGGGAGGAATGTGTGATTTTAGTTACATATCCTTGACCTTAGTTACAGGAGGGTAATTAAAAGACCACAGGGATAAAATCACTATAAAGCAGCCTTAAGGCTGTGCTGTTGTGACAGGAGTTAGTGCACCCATTTCATCCCACCAGAACACCCTGATACTTGCAGCAGGAGCTGGGATACAATCAATTTAAGGTCAGTTAACAGGTCACCTAGCTAATTTAACTCACACAAAAAATAACTACATCAATCCATGGTATTTCGGAAATACAACTAAGATATGCAAGGAAACCTGGACAGCAGCAAATTGAAAGGTGACACTAAAAAGTACATTCCTTCTTCTAATGTCAAGCCACAGGACTGCCCCAGCCTGGTTGGAGTCCCATAGAAAAGACAGGTATGAGTGTGCCTGTGAGTGAGTGCGGAGGAGGCTATTAATCCCAATTAACATCCTATTAACAATCCATTAAGAATTTGTTCTGAATCTGGGATAGACGGGGTCATTCCCAGAACCCAGCATCTGCAGTCTTCTTGTGTTAACTACCACAAACTGTGTACCAGCTTGTATGCAGTAACACCTACAAGAAGAGTTTAAAGACAATCCTGTTAAGAGATATATATATAGAGAGAGATAGTTCATCTGTCAAATAAGATTAATTGCATATGAAAACAGCTAACAAATTCATGCTTTCAAGAAACAATTCCCCTCAACATCACGTCTGCCAAAGCAGATAGCCAGACATGCAGGGTATTAATGCGCTCTGTTTCATCATGTGAAGGATAACATTTTGCTATTCTTCGCTGTCTGGATGGTAATCTACGAAGAGGAGAACTCGGACTTGTGAAAAGATATGTCTATTGGTCAGAAGATGTTTGGGTGTAGCAATCATGACTGGGACTCTGCACATTTTCAGATAATAGTTCCATATTTCACATACATCTCCTAGCAACCATTTATTAAGCTACCTGTTGTGTCAAGAAACACAAACACATACAGGCTTTGTAAAAGAGCATGCTCTGTCTGAAAGTACAGCTCACTTAAAGCTTAGAACAGACTTACACTACTATCCCAACGTTAGGGTATGTCTCTGTGCAAAAGTTCCAGAAGCACAATTAATGAAGTGGAGGTCTAGTTCTAACGTTACTTTCATTCATGGGTGGGCACACAAAAGTCACTTGGGCAGGGCCTCTGTAGTTGATGTAGTGTAAAAGCAATGCACTAGCAGCAATAATGAGCTATATTGCAGAAGCAATGCAAGTTACACGGACAAGTTTAAGCCGACTTGCTACAGCTGTTTTAACCATCCATCTCCACTTTAAATGAAAAAGCATTAAAGCACAACGGGCAAATATATTGATTTTGTGATTAGGAAATATTCAATTGGCATCATTACACATACCTGCACTTGTGGTAGTTTCTGATGGCTGGAAAACCACTGTGGAAGATGACGAGAGTGGGGTGGTAGCAGCAGAAACACTGGCAGGTTCTTTTCCTTCCAGCTCAGCCACAGGCAGCAGTGGGTTCTGGTTCAGATCCAGGTGAGTAGGACTGGAAGGGATTCCATTCTCCAACAGGAACTCATCCAGATCCATGTACTCCAGGTGGAAAGACTCCCCATCATAAGGAATTGTTTTGTCCCAGATGGGAGGCATGAGGGAGGCAGAGACTGCCATTGTACTAGCAGCTGCCGCTTCATCTTCCTCAAGTTTTTCCTTCTTTTCTTTATCTAAATGTAAAATGAAACGATGGTTTTAATCTTATGGAGAATTATAATCATGGTTCAAACATATACACCACTCAATTACTCAACAATATCATGGTCCAATACACTTATCAGAAGGCACATGCTAGGTGCCAGAACAGAACCATTTAAGATTAGAAACATCCCTTTTCAAATGGGGGTTGGAATTATGCACAAAATGCAACACTGGACTTTGAGACTAAGCTATCAGAATGAACGCTGGTGTGTACACTCAGCACATAACTATAAACATCTATGTTCACAGCCAAACTCCAGCCCAACTCACAGCAAGACCGTTAAAACCCTGGATTCTAAGTAGTGTACTATGGTTTCACCAAAGTGAGTGTTTACTTTGTCTGTCTTTGATGCTATGGTAAACATGCACTAAGAAGCCACAACTGGCTGACTCATATCCACTGCATGTTTGGAGACGTACATTTCCCTTTTATATGTTTACATCCAGTCACCAGTGAGGATGTGGCAGATAAGCTGTAAAAGTGTAACTGTCCTAAAAGGGAAGACATATCCACATAGTGTTAATAAATCACATGAAGATAAACATTCTAACTTCCCAGCTACTACTGCCATGTTACATTTTAGAAGTTTATACAATGGTACCTCAGGTTAAGTACTTAATTCGTTCCGGAGGTCCGTTCTTAACCTGAAACGGTTCTTAACCTGAAGCACCACTTTACTTAATGGGGCCTCCTGCTGCCGCCACACCGCCAGAGCCCAATTTCTGTTCTTATCCTGAAGCAAAGTTCTTAACCTGAAGCACTATTTCTGGGTTAGCGGAGTCTGTAACCCGAAGCGTATGTAACCCGAAGCGTATGTAACCTGAAGTGTATGTAACCCGAGGAACCACTGTATGTGATCAACATATGACAAAGCATTTTAATGTGTTTCTTTGACAGTGCAATTGTTTGCATGTTTACTCAGAAATAAGCCTCAATGTATTAAATGGGACCTACTTCCAATATATAGAATTGCAATCCAAAAACAATAAAAGGGGGAGAAACATTTGTCAGTGTTTAGTGACATGGAGACAGGCTCTGTACATGGATCTTATCATTTTTTTATTAGTGGTGGCCATACAGGAAATTGTGAAAACCTGGAAAGCTCTAGGATATATAATACAGTGGTTCTCAAACTAACCCAGGATATTTTCTGCCAAACTTTTCCCACTGGTGTGGACATCAAGAAGTGCAACAATAATTAATATGGTGACTGAAAAAACCCAGTGTGTGGACTCTTATATAGCAACTGTGCACACACAAACATTAGATCTGAAACAACCCATTTGCAAAATAATGCCCCTCTCTGGACAACCTATGAAAAAAAGCTTGTTTGGCTGGCTAAAGTGGTGGTGAAAGGGGAGAAGAGGGTTTGCATAAAGTAGAATTTTAATAATTCTGCTCAAATGTTGTCAGCCACTTATGCTACCATATTTAGTCTGTAATAGTATGTATGCATGATACTTGTTTTTATGTTTTTCTCCTTTGCTTTAACTGAAATGATTAAAAAAGAAAAGAAAAAAGACTTAGGAAAATAAGTTGACTTCTGAAAACATATGTAGATGTAAAAAGTTTTATTACAGTAATAGAAAACAAACGGCAAGAATTAGGAAAGGGCTGCAGCAGGCACAATGCTGGAGCATCTACTTTGCATTAAGTATTTCAAGTAATAAAAGAACTACCTTCCCATAAGATTTTAAACAAAGCCACACTGCATGCTTCACCCAATACACAAGATCACATACTTTTGGTGTCCATTACAGTATTTTGAGTGTCAGATCTACAGCACTCCAGACCTTCTGCACAGGGAATGAATTTTATCACCTAGACTAGAAACCAGGGAGCTTTGAGAAAATAAAAACAAGGCTCCAGTGAACGTCCAAAACTGGAGGAAGGCTAACATTTACTACTGAGGTTAGCAAACTGTCCATTATAGATTTTCTTCTTATCTACCATGAGTAAATATCTACCATCCATCCAGATTCAGACAGGTGTTGTAGAACCAGGTGAATTGCAAGAGACAAATGCAGGTCAGCCATCCTTGCAACATCTACAAAACTAGATTTACATTCACATCCATCTTGGAATGTCGATGGAGAAATGTACATGCAGGTGTGTCACTTGGGAAGGGCGACTCCAGAACACGTATGCATGCTTACGTTAATCAGGAGCACCTCCATCTCTGGAATACCACGAAGCATCAAAACAACCAGGGCAAATGCCTCCCCCTCACTTCCCCCCACGCAACTCAACCTTGAATATTTGCAAAAAGTATTCGCTTGAAGCCCTGACGAAATCCCCATCTGTTGTCTCCAGATCATTTCTCTGGATCGGGAAGGGCGGCGCAGCGAAGAGAGCGCCTGGCCTTTCCGTGTGTAGTTTTGGCAGCCACGCTGCCGCTGTGGTTATGGGGAAACGGGAGATCAAATCGGCCCCTCGACGCTGCGGGAGGCGCCGTTGTTTTGCCTCCTCCGCCACGACCCCTTGCGGTGCCACCCGAGGCACGTTTGCACGGCGAGGCTTGCTCCCTCGTAAGCGTGCAGGAGGGGCTGGGGCTGCTCATCTCAGGCGCGTAAACAAGCCGCCCGGATCATGGCAGGCGAAGGACAAACCGGGGCGCCAGAGCGCTGCAAAATGGATGCGACTCTGCCCGCGCCGTTCCCCTCCAACCCTCCGGCTCGCTCCGCAGCGGCCGCCCTCCCCGGAGCCCCCCCCCGCGCTCCCGCCGCCGCCGCCCTCACCGAGGCGCGTGTCCCGCGGCGGGTTTTCCATCAGCTTCTTCAGCACCAAGGGGAAGGCGCCCGCCAGGCCCCGCTCCTGCTGCGCGGCTCCCGCGGTCCCCGCCGCCGCTTCCTGGTGCGCGGCACGGCTGGACATACTATAACCAAGCGGGCGGCGAGTGGCGGCGGCTTCCGAGACACCCCCACCCTCCTCGTGAAGGCCCTGAGAGGGGCGAGCGGCGGCGAACGAGGCCAGCGGAGGGGGCGCCCGCGAAGCGAGAGGGAGGGGCCGACCCGCCACCACTCGACGCCGACGCCGACTGCGCGTGCGCCGCTCCGGACGGCGGCTTCTCCGGGGGCCCCCGAGGCGCTTTTACTATTCATGAGCCTAGCGTCGCCACCCTCACGTTCGGCGCCCTGCGATTGGCTAGGGTCTCCGGGAAGGCGGGGCTGGCCGCCAGGCACGTGCAGCTGAGGGTGAGTTTCTTATTAGCATGGGGGCCCCGCCCTACGCGCTGGCGGGTATGCCGCCGAGACGCCCTATTGCTATGCGCGCGACGCGCACCCGCGGCTCTGACCTTAAGTGAGCCTTGAAGCGAAGGGTGCGCGCCAGGGTAACCAGCAGAGGGAGGCGGCGGAGCCCTTTTCACCTGCGTGGGAAGGAGGGGGAGTGGAAGGTGAGGGGACCAAAGGGGTGCCGGGACGGCGGAGGGGGCCCAGCGGGGCAGCCCCGGAAAGAGGAGCTTGGCGTCTTTAGAGGTCAGAAAGCTCGCGGAATTGGAGGCCAGCAAGCGCATTCACAGGAGGAACAGCAGCAAGAACGAGGCTTCCAAAAGGGAGCCCCTCACACCCTCTGCAGGAAAACACGAACACGCACAGTTTGTTCTTTCACCTACCATACACACCCATACGCCTCTGAACCACGTTTAAAAATAGCATCCACCCATCGTCAGAGAATCGTAAAGTTGGAAGGGACCCCCGAGGGTCATCTAGTCCAACCCCGTGCAATGCAAGCATCTCAGCTAAAGCATCCATGGCAGATGGCCATCCAAGGAAGGTTGTCAATGGGAAGTTTCTGTCATATTTAAATAATTTACTCCCCACTTTTTGAGGCAGTTACCTGCAAAAGAGCTTGCAATATTTTGTAAAAGTACAGCGATACAGAAATCCATTTAAATAAAACCTTTTAAAATAGGGTATGTATGCCCCCCATGGCTTAAAAAGGCAAAAGGGTCGTTTCTCTCCCCACTGTGTTTCAAGTGGTGTTCGCTGCACACATTAGAGACGCGGCCAGAGTGTCTACACCCAATGCACATTACGTAATTTTCTTTGTCCCTGGAATTCTCTGAACTCCTGTTCAAGGAAGGAAAGCGTATCAAACAGGAGTATTTCTCAACAGACTGGATTTAGGTAATGCCATATGCACGGGTGGCACTGTGGTCTAAACCACTGAGCCTAGGGCTTGCCAAACAGAAGGTGGGCGGTTTGAATCCCCGCAACGGGGTGAGGTCCCGTTGCTCAGTCCCAGCTCCTGCCAACCTAGCAGTTCGAAAGCACATAAAAGTGCAAGTAGATAAATAGGTACCGCTCCAGCGGGAAGGTAAATGGCATTTCCATGCGCTGCTCTTGTTTCACCAGAAGCGGCTTAGTCATGCTGGCCACATGACTTGGAAAAACTGTCTGTGGACAAACGCCAGCTCCCTCGGCCTGTAAAGCGAGATGAACACCGTAACCCCAGAGTCGTTCGCGACTGGACTTAATTTTCAGGGGTCCTTTACCTTTTATATGCACCTGGCTTTAAACACCAGTGATGGGAACATTGGAGGCTAGTCCATTTACAACCAGACCAGGGGGTGGCAGTGCTTGTCAGACTTCTGCTCCTTAGTCCCGTTGCCTGTGTAGAATTTAGCAGGGAGGAGGTTGGAGACAGAAACCAGTATTAGTTGCCTTCACCTATTACTGCCTCTGCTTCTGCCTGCCAAAGTTTCTGGCTCTATATACTGTTGGCCTCCTTCCGCCCTGCAAATCCCAGTGGACCCCAGCCTCCACTGGGTAGGAGTTCACTAGAGCCCAAGTAAGCAATAATAGGTACATATTGACAGTTGGAAACAATAAACAATTCTTATAATTACAATTCAGTTCACATAAGAATGAATCGTGAATGAAAGATTTAATTCACCCATTGTTGGAATAAACAAATTAATATAATCTAGAAGTTCTGAACCGTACTAGAATCTTGGAAGACACACTAGAATCAAATGTGCTTGTAAAATTCATCTCAGACCATGCCTAAAAGTCTGCGAACCTAAATTTCTAGAGCTGGGAATGCCTTCCTTTGTGTCCATCCCTTTGGGAATTAAGGTCTTGAATTTAGGTCCCACTAGTGGCATTAAGTGTTATGGCACTTTCCTGCCAAAAAGATGTGACAGGCCAAATCACCTGAGGTTTTACAGCAAACCTCTCTTCATCAAGCTTTTGGGTTCAGAACTACTATGTGGCTATTAGTGTGTACCTAGTGTTTTATATATGCATTTGCTTTAGGTGTATGTATTACAGTATATGTATTGTTAGTTTGTATTATTTGCTTTCTGTAAATCAGTTTAAGTGCTGTTTGGCAGAAAAAATGTTTTTAAAATAATTTACAGTGAAAGACTATGCCTATTCAGAAGTAAGTCTGACTGAGGTCAGTGGAATTTACTGCAAAGTGAGTATAGAATTGCAGCCATAAGTGTCCCTACTCGCTTCCTGGAGACTTTTCAGAAACAATAGAACAGAGTACAGTCTAAAACCACCTGCTGCTTGCGATAGAAGCAAGCAAGCAGAGGTATATAAAGTCAAGAGTAGACCTTTATTTTCATAGTTGCAGGCCTCTCTTCTTCCAGTGGGCAGAAGCAAACTGGAGATTAACTGAAAATCCTTTTAAAAATATGTTTTAAATTTCTACTTTTTACATGCATGTAACCTGTTTCTCATTTTTTGAGTATTAACTTTGGTTCACTACATTCACATACAAAAAAGTCCTCATGAAAATTGACCAGCATTTTTAAGCGAGTTTGTTTTCTAATATATGTAATGTTTATGCATTTTTGCCCGCTATATTGCATTATGTCCAACCAGATGCTTTTGCAGGGCAATACTGAAAGCAGGATTGCATGTAACCACCCCGACGCCACCATAAATGTAAATAATAATGAATTCATAAAAAAAGGACATACCGTATTTTTCTGTGTATAAGACTAGGTTTCCCCCCCTAAAAAGTAATGTCAAAAATTGTACACGGATACATCTCCCCCCATTTTCTTAAATCGGAGTCCCCCAAAATAGGGGGCGTCTTATACATGGGGGCATCTTATAAACAGAAAAATACGTTATTTTGCTACTTTTACAAATGGGTACTGTTTGGTTCATGTACAGTATGGCTTATATTGGTCAGCAACAAGAGTCACAATATTGCCTTGCTCTCAGTCTACCTAATTACAGTCAAACATAGAAAGCTGTTTTATTATATTTATGGCTAGTAAAGCTTCTAGCAGTGGCGTAGCGTGGGTTGTCAGCACCCGGGGCAAGGCAAGTAATTTGCGCCCCCTAACCCATGGATTTGCGCCCCCTAACCTGTGGATTTGCCCTAACCCCAGATGTTGCGCCCGGTGCGGCTGGCCCCCCCTGCACCCCCCACGCTACGCCACTGGCTTCTAGGGTGGTTTGAGGCAGCTTGAGACAGGCGGATTTCCTTGGGCGGTGTGTTTCTCACACTAGGCTGGGACCCAGCAATGAGTCAAGGGCCACTTTCAGGTGGCCCTTGGTGCCCCAGCCTGTCCGGTGCCTCCTCACCGGCCTGGGATTAGAATGGAAGGTGGTAAGAGAGGGGAGCTGTTAGAGGAGGAAGAGGTGAATGCAAAAGGATCAGTGAGAAGGGGCAAAGGACACTGAACATTTTGAAGTCTGGTGGGATAAGGTACAAGTTGAGTGTGGAAAAACCCTTTTCACTTAAAGCCACTGGATCAGCAAATTCTTCCTAATATGGAGTGGCTGAGTCACAATATATCCATGGCAACTGTCCTTACTTAGCTTGAGGAAAGCTGAATTGTGGAACTCCTTGCCACAAGGAAAAAGCTAAGGCAAAGAATTTAGCAATTTCAAAAAATGGATTAGATATCAGTAGAAAGTAATAGTAATTGCCAGTTGATTATGCCAAACTTTACCTACACCTGCCACTATTTTGGATTTTCCTTGGCTCCTGCATCACCATGTTGTAGTTTGTGGGCCTCAGTGATTTTCAGCCATCTCAAGTAAGGCCTGGGAGTAGAAAGCTTGAGAATCCATGTCCTAAGGTACATTGCTATGAAAGAAACCATGGTCCTTAAAGTTAGACCATGATTTTCTCCTGCATCAGTTTCCTCCAGTGATCTGTTCCACCATCAGCCACTTCTGCATTCTATCTGGAAGGTCCAGCTGGACATCATCCTTGCTGGGACTGGTGACATTGAAATCCCACTGAAGGCTTGCTGTTTTCAACTGTTTACAAAACGGTTGGGAGAGGAATTATCCCTCAACATGAAATCTGGAGTTCAGACTAATAGGATTAGTGGTAATAAGATTTCTACACAACATCAGCACCTAGCGTATTCTAGTGCACAAGGACAACATCATAACCAGGGCACATGTCATCTGGAGATTTGCAACAAGGTGCGTCATCACTCTGCAGACGACACCCAGATCAGTTTATCGTTTTCATCAGAGATCAGGTGAGGCTGCAAAAGCGGTAAGCTGGTATTTGGAGATAGCCATGGACTGGATAAAGGCCAATAAACTGAAACTCAGGTGCAGTTTCTGTTGGTAGGCAGTTCATCTAGCTTATATGGTGTTCTTTAGCCTTTTCTTGGCAGGGTTGTACTCAGACTACAATCTGCAGTGCCGATAGATTTGGTCTTATATTTAGAGACCCAAATGACGTCTAGCCATAGTTATGTTATGGAAACATCCAGGTTTGACTACTGTAATGCACCACTATATGTGGTTCTGCCTTTGCCGAATACAGTACTTAGAAACTTAAGTTAGTACAAAATACTACATCAAGATTCGTAATTGGCTGGTTCAATGGATTACATCCCAGCAGTCTCAAAACAACTGAACTAGTTAACAATCAATTGCCAAGCACATGGCTTTTATGTTTATAGCCCTTAAACAGCTTAGCACTGGGATACCAGAAGGACTGCATGAACCTGCCCAGATATTAAGGTCTTCCTCAGATGCTCTTCTGAGCTCCCTTATCTTCAGAAGTGAGAAAGGTGGTGCTAGATCGGCCACCTCAGCAAAGGTAGAGGAACATAGACATCCAGGCCACTAGCCATTATCCTCCTTTAAAGTCACCCAAGTCATCACATCTCGTGGGAATGAATTCCATAGCACAGTGGTTCTGAAACTTTTTTCTCTGGACCATACTTTCAGAATAAAAATTTGTTCTGACCACCGATTTTTGTGTGTGTAAGAAATACATGGGGAGGAGACATCTCATGGCAGTGCTTGATTTATGACATAGAACACAACTAATAATAATAATAATAATTATTATTTATCCCCGTCCCATCTTGGCTGAGTTTCCCCGAGCCCTCTGGCGGCTCCCAAGTGCAGTGTTAAAAACAGTACAACTTTCCCTGACAGGGCTGCCTTAAGATGTCTTCTGAATGTCAGGTAATTATTTATCTCTTGACATCTGATGGGAGGGCGTTCCACAGGGCGGGCGCCACTACCGAGAAGGCCCTCTGTCTGGTTCCCTGTAGCCTCACTTCTCGCAATCAGGGAACCGCCAGAAGGCCCTCGGCGCTGGACCTCAGTGTCCGGGCTGAACGATGGGGGTGGAGACGCTCCTTCAGGTATACAGGACCGAGGCCGTTTAGGGCTTTAAAGGTCAGCAGCAACACTTTGAATCGTGCTCGGAAACGTACTGGGAGCCAATGCAGGTCTCTCAGAACTAGTTTATAATATGATCATGGTACATCCAGAAAGTATAAAACAATGCAGCTAAGAACACGAATCATTTCCTAAATAAAATACTGATTATCCTTGAATCTTCCTGCCATATTGCCATCCTCTCCTGCCACACCAGTGTGGCGCATCACAGCCTTTGAGAACCACTGGTCTAAGTATATAATGCTGATTGGATCATCTCTATATGTTTCGTCATACTCCTTAATGAGACAGGACTTCTTACCCTTGCAGAAGCCATGCCGCCTCTGCTTCAGCAAGAACTGTTCTTCCATATGCTTGGTAATTTTAGCTTTAATAAAGCTTTCTCCAAACAGATGTTAAGCTAGCTATCTTGTGATTACCAGAATCCCCTTGGTTCCCATTTTTAAAAATTGTGTCACATTGCCCACTTTTCAGTCCTCAGGTATGGAGGCTGATGTTAGGAGGAAAGTACGGTATATGTTTTTGTTAGAAGATCAGCAATTCATATTTGAGTTTTTAAAGAACTCTCAGGTGGATACCATCTGCCCCCAGCAATTTGTGAATTTTAAATTGTCCCTATGGCCTAGAACTTCATTTCTTTTTAGTACTATTTGCTTCAGTTCCTCAGACTCTCATCCTGCTATAGTTGGTTCAGGTGATCAGATCTGCCCTACATCTTCCACCATGAAAATAAGGTAAAGGTAAAGGTACCCCTGCCCATACGGGCCAGTCTTGCCAGACTCTAGGGTTGTGCGCTCATCTCACTCTATAAGCCAGGAGCCAGCACTGTCCGCAGACACTTCCGGGTCACGTGGCCAGCGTGACAAGCTGCATCTGGCAAGCCAGCGCAGCACACGGAACGCCGTTTACCTTCCCGCTAGTAAGTGGTCCCTATTTATCTACTTGCACCCGGGGGTGCTTTCGAACTGCTAGGTTGGCAGGCGCTGGGACCGAACGATGGGAGCGCACCCCGCCGCGGGGATTCAAACCACCGACCATGTGATCGGCAAGTCCTAGGCGCTGAGGTTTTACCCACAGCGCCACCAGCGTCCCCTTACCATGAAAATAGATGGAAATAATTCACCTTCTCTGCTGAATTCATTCTCATTTTCCTCCCTTAGTGCACCTTTCTCTCCCTTATTCCTTTCTAGCCACTTTCCTGCTTCTAATGTGTATTTTGTTGGTCTTTGTGTTTTCTAGTGATCCTTGAATGGCAGGCTAACTGCAACATCTTGGAAAGAAAAACAAGCACCACTTGCACAGGATGTTCCTCTGAATCCAGGAAAAGGACAAGCAACATTCTCCCAACCCCATTATTGAGGGGGCTGTGGAGATCAAAGCTGTTGTCACAAAGAGAATGGGAATGGGCTGACAGACAAAAAGTGTTCAATCGTGTGGGAAGTTTTAGGATGAAACTCAGCTTGTATGGAAGACTGGTGGGTCTGCATAGGAGAAAACATATAGAGAGGAACCTCCAAACTTCAGAGAGCTGTTCTTTTAACTGTGCTGACCTTCCATCAGGTGTCAGACTGATACTCTCAGGCTTGCTTTCCTCATTTTCTTCTTCACCTTGGGAGAAGAGACATCTTGGTACAGTATGTCTCTCCTGCTGAGAACAAAGAGCAGGCATGGTTCTTTGTATCTCCATCTTAGTTAGATAGAAGAAAGGATATTTCCTATCAGGTATGTTTTCCCTTTAATAAAATTAGCTTTCTTAATTTCCTAAACTCAGTATCAGTGTGATTATAATCAAGAGCAAAGCGTGCTTCTCCAGCAAGTATTCAGTGCTCAGTTCAGCTTCCAATCTATGTATTAACCCTGCACAAGTATTCCAAGTGAGTTCACACTGAAGGAGCTGTAATCATGGACCTCATTTTGGGCAAGCCTGGTCCAAACAAATCATATTATTATTAACAGAGAACATGCAAATGCATATAGAAGCTGCCCCAAATAAAACTGAATTTAGCCAAACTTTACAGTACTTACAAGACTGAAGCTTCTCTCCAACATTGCCCCCTAGGCAATTTGTCAAGACCTTAATCTATCTACAAAATTTACTTGAATCTTTGAACAGTAAATATATATATATATATATATCCAATATAAGTCAGTAATAATTGTTGTTGTTCTTGTATTTATGTGCTGCCCATCTGACTGGGTTGCCCCAGCCACTCTGAGTAATTTCCAACAAAATATTAAAACACAAAAAAACTGAAACATTAAAAACCTCTCTGTAGCAGCTGCCTTCAGGTGTCTTCTAAAATTCAGATAGATGTTTATTCCCTTGACATCTGATGGGAAGGCATTCCATAAGGGAGGTGCAACTACTGAGAAGGCCCACAATGCAAACAAACCAAAAATAGCACCTTTATGCCCAGAGCAAGAGGAATTTACCTGTGCAGCTGGCATTCCACATATCCAACCTCTAGTTTTAACCACTCCCTCAGCCTCTATGCATGCAATACTAGTGTGCTCCAGTGAGGTGTCCACTCACTGGCATGCTATCACTGCACCTCAAGGCAGACCAACCTAGTTTAAAAAAGACACCAGGTGCATGAGACGCTTCATAGGGTCGTTCTTGCCTGGCAACTTATTTAAATCAGGCTTCAGTTCACCAAATGAAAGAGTCGCCTTCTGGCATAGCAGAAACATCCATAGGGTTGATATTCTGAACTAGTATCTATATTGTGTCATACTACTGGCCCATGGTGTGGCACATAGTGGAGTTTCACATACATTATTTAGGATCTATGTGAGCTATTATTTAGGAACATAATGCATAGGAACTGATTTTGCAGATTTGCTGGACTACACTTTTTTACTTACAGTTCTTTTGGAATTAGTTGTTCTGACTGCCAAGCAGACTAAATGCTGCACCTTCTTGGTTTGCTTAAAGTCTAACAACTTCAGACTCAGTCCCTTTTTGGTACTAGCCATAGGCAATAAAAGAAAAAAAGCAGAGAATTCAGTGAGACTCATAACTGGCCCGCAATTAAATGTCTGAGAAAATTTTATTTTATATTAGATATGGGAAAGGTCCATGCTGATTTAAAAGGAAGACAAATAACAGGATGATTGGGTCTGAGGGGGAAATATGGAGCCATTCAGGCCATTGGAAAATCAGTTCTCATTTATACTGTATACTAAAATATGTATAGCTGGCTCCATCTTCTAAAATATCAATGCAGTGTATAGCAAATGATGACCTCTTTGCTTTCTATTGACTGGTGCCTGTATGGAGATAGCCAGATGTTGGAAAACTGGCACTGGGCTGAACATTGATTCTTGGTATAACAAAGTACGGTCAATAGCATTGGCAGATGAACTAACATGTCAGGTCAGAGCAGCAAAGGGCAAACACAACCCCTGTTTCCTTTATAACTTATGGCAAATGTTTATTGAATACATAAATAGTTCAGACTGGCAGAAATCCAGCCAACACTCACGGGAAAATGTGATCTTTTAGAGTAATCAAATGAAACTTTATTACACAGCATGACAAAAGCCTGTAATTTTATCATGACAAGTTATTTGTTGTTTACTGTTGTAACAGTCGTTTTCTCAAAATGTATCTTCTGTACCATAAAGAATAAATGAAAAACATTATTTTTTAAAAAGACAGTGAACAACAAAATAGGCAGGTACAGCAAAACATAATAGAATACAATGTAAGTCTGGGATCTGCCCTGAAATCTTATGATGAGGGGTGGTCTATAAATTCAAAAAATATAAATAAATAAATAAATAAATAAATAAATAAATAAGGCACGTTTGGGAGCCCTGCTTCTTGGGGGTCTGATCTAGCCCTCCTCTACAAAAATTCTGCAAGATCACACTGATTTGGGTAGCAGCAGATAAATAAAATAAAACAGGCAGCACTGAGGCAGGTAGAGCTAAGCACCCTCATTGGGGTGGTCCCTCCCTGTTCATCAACTTAATCATGTGATGTGTGGAGAGTGGGTGACAGCCCCCTTCATAGCTGAACCACATGGATCAACTGAAGGAGGATACTGTGAACTTGTACGTTCCAAGAATGTGTGTGAGTGCTAGCTTGTGAACCCCAGAAAGGTGATCCAAGGTGAAGGAGGCCATTGGGCAGGAGGAAAGATACCCACTCCTGTTTTAGAGGAATGAGTAGCACCCTCTCTTTCTGTGTGTGTGTGTTCATGTGCATTTGCTTTATTTAATTTACAAAGAACATAGCAAGTAAAAATGGAAAGTTGTTTGCTTAAGGGAGAGGGAGGTTCCCTTGACAACGTTTCAAAGATAGCATAATCTAAGAATTCAGCTTCTGAGTAGCCAAGATAAACCACATCCAGTGAAAAGTAAATCATCACCCTCAAAGATCTGTTTGGTTTCCTTTGTATGTTCATACAAAACCAGAGACAGACAACCTGTAACCTCCAAATGTTACTGGGCTGCAGCTGACAGCATCCCTGCCCATCAACCATCCTGGCTGGGGCTGATGGGAGTTGGAGTAGTATCACAACATCTGGAAGACTGCACGTTGCGCGCCTCTGTTCTTCACATGTTGTTTATCTAAAATCTGCTAGGTAGTTTCAGTCCTTCTGTACAGAATGTCTTGGAAGCACAATTCATATCCATCAGGAGCTGTGCATTCAGAATTGTGGACCCAATTTTGTGGAACTCCCTCCTAACTAATATCCAGCATCCCCCCACTCCCTGTTGAACCCGAAGCCTTTTCTTTATTCCAGTAGATATTTTAAGTAATTTCTGATTTAATAGTTTTTAACTGATTTAATCTGTATTGTTATTTGTTGAACCTGATGTAAACCATTTGGATACATTTATAATTAGGTGGTATATAAACTGTCAAAACAACCACCTATCAGAACAATTACATGCTATTTGATTCTGGATTAACTGTCTGGTCTGCATAATTTTTCCTCTTGGGTGCAGTTCTAATTATTTTGCCAGAGCTAAATTGGACCTCCTGTTTCCAATGATCTTTTACAGTAATATCAAATAGTTCTGGGGGGCGGATGTCACAGAACAGACATCTGGCTCCATTTTTATACCAGTGGTTTGTTGCAAAGGTTTCTGAAAGGAAGAAGTAGAGGACGAACAGGACAATGACAAAAGGAAGATGCTAGACGGACCTAAAAAATGAGAAACACGTATTCTCCTTTACTCCCATTTTCATCATGGCACAACATTCCAACTAAACTTTGGCCATCATCTCTCTCCTGTTGCCTCAGTCAGTTCACATAGAAGGCAATTTATTTCAGCAGGCTTTCCCCACTGCATCAACTCACTACATTGCCCCACAAAAATCTGCCTTATTGCACATGTTTGGGACCCTGAAACGACCCAGCTTGTTATAGTAACCAGGACCATATCTAAAATACGCACCACAGCATTTAGATGAGTTCCTGGCCAATAGCCAGAAATGCAGCGAGCGACTTAAAAACAACAACCCCCAAACAAACGCCTACATAACGGGAAAGAGAAAGCATCAGCCAACGGATCCCAAAGCCCATCGGAGCACTTGTTAAAGCATTCTACTCCCGGATGGCTTCATATAAGAGGTGGAGGGAGACGCAGCAACTTATGCCTCAGAAACAGCGCCATAAAACGACGTGACACTGATTTAAACCTGTAGGATCGTCGACTTGCTCTCATTTGAAGCCCTTTGACGTTGTTGCTGTTGTAGTAGTAGCAATTTATTATTTATACCCCGCCCATCTGGCGGGGTTTCCCCAGCCACTCTGGGCGGCTCCCAACAGAATATTAAAAACACGATAAAACATCAAACATTAAAAACTTCCCTAAACAGGGCTGCTTTCAGATGTCTTCTAAAAGTCATATAGTTGTTGTGGTCATGATCCGCCGGAACTGAGCTCGCGGAATTAAAAGGTATGGAAACCCTGGGTGTTTTTGATGCCCAAGTAGAACGGCTCCAGCAGCAGCAGTAGTTGCTTGAGCTGAGAGATCAAACCGGACCATCCACACAAGACACCCACCATGTATCTGACAGCTTCTTCCGAAGTCTCCGGCTGCCCCCCCCGACCCACACCTAATGTAGCAGCACCAGAAAAGTGTGGCTCTCAGCACGTGTCGCTCCTCTCGACTTTCCCGATGCTTGTGGCTTAGGTCAAATTAAAGAAGAGCCAAAGCCAATATATTGTATGCCGCCACCCCTCCCTCTCCCAATCTGGCTTGGGGGCAAAAGGAGCACACCCTACCTTTCAGAGATCCCGTCCAGGGCACCGAGTACTCCAGAAGAGACTTCAGCACTTCAGGAAAATCCATGGCAGGAGGGGCTCCGAGTCTGCTGCAGCTGGACATTTCCCGCCTTGGGCTGGGGAAGGACGATCCCGTTTCTTCTTCCCAAGAGAAGGGCCGGCCGCGTGTCTGAGCGCGGAGAACGGGCTTTCAGCAGAAGTCACAAGAGGAGCCCGGAGCGATATTGCTCAACAACTCCTGGCAGGAGGAGGCTGCCAGAGGAACAGCCAATCAGAGACGGGCGCAGCCCAGAACTCTTCAGCCCGCCCCGCCCACTCCCCGCTGGCCAATGGCAAACAGGGCCGGGCCGGTCTGCCAGGGCTGGTTTACAGGGCCCGCTGCAGCCAATCAGGCCCCAAAGAACTGGGCCGGTTACCTAACTTGCGAGAGGAAATGGGCTCGGTCGAAGGAAAGGCTTAAATCTCAAGTGTGAAGAGACGGGCAAGAAATCAAAGGAGGATTCTGACAGTCTATCACAACC